ACTATGAAAGGTAGGATAGTGGGTAACTCTAGAGAAGAAGAAGAGGAAGTGACTGGGAAAGGATACACAAAAGGGACTTCTGAGGTATTGATAATATACTATTTCTTTACCTGAGTGATGATTACATGTTTGTTTCAAAATGATGTATTAAATCACATGTTTTATGCACCTTTCTGTATCTGTGTTAAATTTAACAGCTTTTTTTTTTAAAGGATATATATTTCCTTCTCAGCCTCCCTAATCTAAAGTAGTGGGGTATTTGGGTAATTTATGCCAGAATTAGAGGCCAAAGAGCTTCATTTTAAGGCCATGGCTAATTTGTTTCAGAAGATTAAGTAAGGCAAGCTTGAAGAGTACTCTGCAGACTATGTGGTAAACACTGTCAGGGTGTTGGTTCAGCTTATAAGGATTCCCTCTTCTGTGAGCTCTCCTTATCAACAGGGGCAGGACTTCAGCAGCTGTGCTTGAACTCCATGACTTTGCCCCAAGTCCCAGTTGATTAGAGCAGGGGGAAAACTGACCCACACTGGACCAACCAGATTCATTCTCCCAGGACTGAACTTTGAGCTGAGACACAGACATGAACAGGAATAGTTGGGGTCTGCAGCACAAAAATGGCACTGCTCAGAAGGAAGGGTCCATACACCTGCTGAATAGGTCCCATAAACCACCCTGGCTCCCACCTAGCCCAAGACCCAGTAGATTTTATAAGAAACTTCTATACATTAACTAGCACTCTAGGTTGCAAACAACGGTAACCCAATTCAAATGAACTTAAGAAAAAAAGAGTATAACAGTAAGATTCCTCAACAAAATTGACAAGACTAGCTAGATTAACGAAGAAAAAAAGAGAGAAGGTATAAACTACCAAAATTAGAAATGAAAGAGAGGACATTACCACTGACCTTTCATAAATTAAATGAATTACAAGTAATAGAAGTACAATGAACTTTATGCCAACAAATTGGACAACTTTAGATGAAATGGACAAATTCCCAGAAAAATACAAATTACCAAAACTGACTCGAGAAGAAAAATAAACTAGACTTATAACAAGAAATTAAATTAGCAATTAAAATTCTTCCTACAAAGAAGAGCCCATGTCCAGAGAGCTTCACTGATGAATTCTACCAAACATTTAAAAAGAAATGAAAACAATACCCCATGAATTCTTCCAGAAAATAAAGCAGGAACACTCCCAAATTCATTCTTTGAGGCCAGTATCACCCCGATACCAAAGGCAGACAAAGATGTTACCAAAAAAATCCAAAACAAAACCAAAATACCAGACCAATATCCCTCATGACTATGGACACAAATATCCTCAAATATTAGCAAACCAAATCCAGCAACATATAAAAACTATATACTATATAAACACCATGACCAATTGGGATTTATCCCAGGAATATAAGACTGGTTTAACATCCAAAAATCAATTTATGTAATACAATTTATTAATATAAGAATTTGTGCATTTCATCTAAGCTATCCACAGAAATCAACCCACAGACTCACAGCCAATAGATATTTGACAAAGGCAACAAAAAGAACCACACGATCATCTCCACAGATGCAGAAAAAAACATCTAACAAAATCTAACACCATTCATGATGAAAATTCTCAAGGGTCACAAGGAAAACAGATGACATATTAAAAACAGGATAATTTGAACATGGTATATTTAAAGGTATGGTTGTAGAGGAACCACAAGGAACAGTGCAGGAACCTAAAGCTAGTAGAAGCTAAGCCGGTTCTACGTCAAGGCCAAAAGGAATAAGAGGAAGGAACAATTACCAGAACCTAGAAGGAAAGAATCAAACATAATCTGCCATCTTATGAGGTGCTGTGAGCTTCAGTGGCAAGACACAGCCAACTCAAGACATCTTGCAAGGAGGAAGCCAAGGGTATAAATACCTCGGCCTTACTCTCTTCCCTTCCTCCTGTCTCCTGCCAGGGCTTTCAAGGGGGCAAACCCAATAGGAAGCAAGAGGGCTCCAGATGCAGATGAGTAGAGATCAGATCTGGAGTGTTAAATTGAAGATCTCCAGCACTAAGAAGTGATTTCCTAATTCATGTACATTGGAAGGATTCTGAACCACAGCCTCAAGGACTAGAACTGGTCTCAGCATTGCTAGGTCTTCCTGCCTCTCTCAGTGTGCTGACCTCCTACAGCACAAGCTCTCTGTTGCCTTTGTATGATGAGGACTACAACTGCTGTCACAAGCAATCTCAGCATTAGGTGGGCCTCTCTCTTTAAATGACTGTCTCAGCCTTAGAGAAAAACCTGATTGGCTCTATTAGGTCACACGCCCATCCCTGAACCAATCACTGTGTCCAGGGCACTGGGATACTCATGACTTACCAGCTGGGAGTCATATGCCCTACCCTGTGAATCTGAAGCTGTAGGTCAGTCTCTTTCTTGCAAATTCCTTCCTTTTGCCTAGGCTAGCCAGAGTTGGATTCTGCTATTTGGAATCAAAACCACCTTAATACAGGCTGAAAGCAACCATGATCAAAAGTGGGGGAAAGATACATGAGCCAACCAAATTCGATGATATAACTTCTATCCTCAAGAAAAGCATCCTTACTTCTGATCAAAATCAGAATTTTAATGATGAACATTAATTTCTTCAAAATTTTATTGGTGATGCATATTCATGGGGTACAAAGCTGACTATAACCACTTGTGCCCAAAATGTGTTGGCCAGATCAATACTATCAGCATGCCCATTACCTCAAATTGCAATTATTCCCCATGTCCCCACCCAATCAATCCTCAGCCTCTCTCCCCCTCCCCCCCTACCCCACTCTGCAACCCTAGGTATGCTCTCTCCCTCTGCAAGTCCAACACACCACTGTGGTCTTTCCTTCCTTCTTTCTCTTTTAGCAAACACTTACGAGTGATGACTTGCGGTATTTTTCCTTCTGTGCCTGGCTTATTTCACTCAACATAATTTTCTCCAAGCTCATCCATGTTGCTGTGAATGGCAGAATTTCATTCTTTTTCATGGCAGAGTAGCATTCCATGGTGTTTATATACCACATTTTCCTTATCCAGTAGTATGTCAATGCACATTTAGGTTGGTTCCATACCTTGGCTATTGTAAATAGAGCTGAGATGAACATGGGAGTGCAGGTATCCCCTGGACATGATGATTTCCATTCCTTTGGGTATATAACTAGAAGTAGGATTGCTGGATCGTATGGCAGTTCTATCTGTAGTTGTCTGAGAAAACTCCATGCTGTTTTCCATAGTGGTTGTACTAATTTACAGTCCTACCAACAGAGTAGGAATGTTCCCTTCTCTCCACATCCTCACCAGCATCTGTTATTCTCCATCTTTTACAGAATAGGGAACCCAGAAATCAACCCACAGACTTATAGCCAATTGATTTGACAAAGGCAACACAAACATATATTGGGGAAAAGACTGCCTCTTCAATAAGTGTTGCTGGGAAAACAGGATATCCATATGCAGAAGAATGAAACTAGACGTGCACCTCTCACCATGTACCAAAATCAACTCAAAATGGATGAAAGACTTAAGTATAAGACCTGAAACTGTAGGGCCGGCCCGGTGGCGCACTGCACTAGTGCGCCGCTTGGGAAGCGCAGTGGCGCTCCCGCCGAGGGTTCGGATCCCACATACAGACCGGTTCCCGCTCACTGGCTGCGCGACGTGCGGGGGCAACGCCGAGGATTGCGGTGCCGTTGCCAGCCCCGGTCCGGTACGGGGGCGACACTGAGGGTTGCGATCCGTTGCCGGACACGGAAAAAGACATAGAAAAAAAAAAAAAAAGACCTGAAACTGTAGGGCCGGCCCGGTGGCGCACGGCACGGGGGCGCCGCTTGGGAAGCGCGGTGGCGCTCCCGCCGAGGGTTCGGATCCCACATACAGACCGGTTCCCGCTCACTGGCTGCGCGACGTGCGGGGGCAACGCCGAGGATTGCGGTGCCGTTGCCAGCCCCGGTCCGGTACGGGGGCGACACTGAGGGTTGCGATCCGTTGCCGGACACGGAAAAAGACATAGAAAAAAAAAAAAAAAGACCTGAAACTGTAGGGCCGGCCCGGTGGCGCACGGCACGGGGGCGCCGCTTGGGAAGCGCGGTGGCGCTCCCGCCGAGGGTTCGGATCCCACATACAGACCGGTTCCCGCTCACTGGCTGCGCGACGTGCGGGGGCAACGCCGAGGATTGCGGTGCCGTTGCCAGCCCCGGTCCGGTACGGGGGCGACACTGAGGGTTGCGATCCGTTGCCGGACACGGAAAAAGACATAGAAAAAAAAAAAAAAAAAAAAAAAAAAAAAAAAAGACCTGAAACTGTAAAACTACTAAGGGAAAATATAGGGAAAACAATTCAGGAACTAGGTCTGGGCACAGACTTTATGAACACGTGCCCAAAAGCACAATCAACAAAAGAAACAAACAAATGGGACTATATCAAACTAAAAAGCTTCTGCACAGCAAAGGAAATAATCAACAGAATCAAATGACAACCTACAGAGTGGGAGAAAATATCTGCAAACTACACATCTGACAAGAGATTAATATCCAGAATATACAAGGAACTCAAACAATTACACAGTAAAAAAACCAAATAACCTAATGAAAAAATGGACAAAGGAGCTGAATAGAAATTTTTCTAAGGAAGACATAAAAAGCCAACATAAAGTGCCAAAAGGCACTTAAAAAAATGCTCAACATCACTAGTCCTCACGGAAATGCAAATCAAAACCACATTGAGATATCACCATTTAAACACACCAAAAATGGTTTTTGACTGTAACACCATGTATGAAATGTACCTTGTACTGTAAAAGAGAAACTCAAAATATGAGCAAAGAAATTCTTACCTATAGTTCTTATGTCACTACTCATGATTTAGGAAATTTTAAAAATTTATTATTTTTAAAATTATTTTCACACACAAAATGTTTACAGACTTTTATATGGTCCATAATTTCGGTCATCTTCTTTGTCAAGTCCTGTCACTCACCTGGAATTAAACTTCTCCATTTTCTGCTTAATCACCTTTTGACGGAAATTCAACCAGTGGCTTGATATACACTTCTCAGTGAGCAGATTCTTCATCAATCAAAGTCTTTTATCTTCCCCTTCTTACTACAAGAAAAAAGGGAACAAAAAAGTAAAATTATCTGTGGCCTATTAGGAGCCATATTTCTGAATGACTTCATGCCAACTCCTAGTCTCCTGCCTCTTCTTAATTCAAAACTAAATGAACGCAGGTCTCCAACTTAAAATACTCTTTTTAAACTGCATTGTAAAAAGTTATTTTCTTGGGGCCGGCCTGATGGCGCACTGCTACAGTGCGCCGCTTGGGAAGCGCAGCAGCAGTCCCGCCGAGGGTTCGGATCCCACATACAGACCGGTTCCCGCTCACTGGCTGAGCGAGGTGCGGGCGCAGCACCGAGGGTTGCGATCCCGTTGCCGATCCCGGTCTGGTACGGGCGTGACACTGAGGGTTGCGATCCGTTGCCGGACACGAAAAAAGACCAAAAAAAAAAAAAAGTTATTTTCTTTCTTTATTTTTTGTTCTTTTTTTCCTTATTTTGTTTTCTTTTTTCTTCTTATTTTTGTTTTCTGTTTGAAAAAGTTACTTTCTATGAAAGGAAACTAAGAGGAGAGTGAGCCACAGTCAAAAGTTATGACTAGCTCATTTTTCCTGTACAGGTAATGCTCGAATACCTTCAAGTTCCCTTCACAAAAACACCAGAAGAGATCAAGATTTCTTATTTTTTCCCCAAATTAATTTTTATGATTGCCAATCATAATAAGAATCTTCAGGCAGTTTTTGATCAGCAGTAGATATTACCGTGTACAGTTTCCTTTTCAATTGGTGATAATTTCTACCAAAAATATTCATTATGAAATGAATAAACAATATAGGTTTAATTTATTTCTTGGTGCAAAGAATAGTAGTATTGTGGGTTGAACTGTGTTCCCCAAAAAGATATGTTTAAGTCCTAAGCCCTGATACCTATGAATGTGACGTTATTTGGAAACAGGGTCTTTGCAGATATACTTAAAATGTAAGTTAAGATAAGGTCATATGGGAATCCAATATGATTGCTGTTCTTATAAAAAGAAGAGAAGAGGTACAAGGACAAATAAACATAAAAAGGAGAACACCATGTGATGACGGAGGCAGACTGGAGTGATGCATCTCCAAGCCAAGGAAAATGATGGCTGGCAACACAAGAAGCTAAGAGAAAGGCATGGAACAGATCCTACCCTAGGCCTTCAGAGAGAGGATGACACCTTGATTTCGGACTTATAGCTTCCAGAACTGTGAGAGAATAAACTTCTATCATTTTAAGCTACCCAGTTTGTGGTACTTTGTTACAGCAGCCCTAGGAAACTAATAAAGGTAGCAAGACAAAGTAAGATTTAAGTACATGGTAGAGGCAAGATAACGGGGTCAACATGTCCTATGTTGAGTAACTGTGATGCATTTGTAATGAGATATTCATTCTAAAATGAAGTCACCCTTAAAATCAAGGTCACATATTTCAATGACAATCAGAGAAGAAATTAGCCAGAAAAAGAGTTTATCCATACAAAATGTATAGTCCTTACTAACATCAAACCTATGTCCTCCTGTTTCCAATATCACACTTAAAGTAACAGAGGTCACCATTAGTGACTATTTCTGTAAATAAACCAAACTGAAGGAGGTTGTAAATAGGAATTTTTGATGAAATACTGCTATAATGAATCGGTCATTGCCTTGGGTTTATACCATGTTATAACGATTCTGTGGAATGTCCTTTGCAGTCAAGGACTCTCTTTTGTTATACACTCTGTACCAACATTCTAACTACATATAAATGATTGCCTTCTCTACTAGAATATAAATTCCATGAAAACAGAAGCTGTATGTGATCTTATTTCCACTATATCTCCAGTATCTAAAACAATGTCTGGAACTTCACAGATATACAAATAACGGGAAGACTAAGACACAGCTTGTTCTCCATAAAGACATATATGAACATGAACTTGCTTCTGCGTTGGAATACGCATAATGATAATCAAATACAAAAGACATCCCAAGAAAAACAAAGATTATTATGCACGAACTCCCGGTTAAACATGCAAACTGACCTCCTAAGATGACAGTAAAGGATAAAAAAGGTACAAACCATAAGGTCAAAAAGATGGGAGAAGAGATCATAAGAAATGAGAGATTTCCACAGGTTATTTCAACAAGAAAATAGATGGAGGAAAATGAACTGACCTAACAGATTTGAGGAAATGAAAACCTGCAGAGTAGGATACCAAAGGGAAGCAGATCACACACAATCCCAGAAGAGCTCAGAACTAAAAGAAACAAGGAAAGGCTTCCAGAACTGAAGTCACAGGTCACATGAATGAAAGTCTGTATAGTGAGCAAGTGGGGCATCAGGTCTCCTCCCAACCCTTCCAGACAAGGTGTCCAGCTCCCTTCCCCTTCCCCTGCTTCCAGACTCCTGACAGCTAGACTGGTACCTCTCAGGCAGGAGACTGGAAAATTCTCAGAAGATGCTAAGAACTAATATACCTCCAGAACCCGACATCTGTGCCTTACCCCCGTCAATGAAAAAGCAGGCTTATCCCTAGACAACTCTAAAGCGAAGCCCATGAACTCACAAGTCCTGCTGAAACACTGGAAGCTTCCAACTAATTTCTCAGTTGCTCACACTTCAGAATGGACAGTCAAGAATCACAAGACATCTGAAAAAGACCCCCAACAAGAAAAAGACCAAAACAAACCCAACAAAGGACTGCCAGGAAGTGCCACCACCTGTGATATATTCTTGCCAAAAAATTAAACCTGAATATCATCAAGCTTCATCTATAAGTATTAACTTACAAAAAAATACAGGAAACAAATAAAAATGACTTTGTAGGCTAGTTAGCTCACTTGGTTAGCGTGGTGTTGGTAACACCAAGGTCAAGGGTTCAGATCCCCATACTGGCCAGCCACAAAAAAAAAAAAAAAAAAAGACTTGCAATCAGCAAAATCAATAATGTAGGAAACTTTATATGACAAATGATCCAGTTCCAGCGCGGCGGCGCTCCCGCCCGTGGGTTCGGATCCCACATACGGACCAGTTCCCGCTCACTGGCTGAGCGAGGCGTGGGAGCGGTGCCGAGGGTTGCGATCCCGTTGCTGGTCCCCGGTCCGGTGCGGGGGCAACCCTGGGGGTTGCGATCCGTTGCCGGACACGGAAAAAGACAAAAAAAAAAAAAAAAAAAAAAAAGACTTGCAATCAGCAAAATCAATAATGTAGGAAACTTTATATGACAAATGATCCAGTTCCTCCAATAAATAAACTGCAAAGGAAAGTGGGGAAAACCTGTACATTAAGAGACTTATGATGTGTATCAATGAAATGCAATGTATAAACCTAGTTTGAATCTTGATTTTAACAAACTAAACGTCAACTGTTAAACAAAAAACATGAAACAATCAGGGAAATTTGAACTTTAAATATTTTTTAAACTTAAAAATTTTTAAATGAGTTATTAAGAAATGGTCTATTTTTTGCGGTGATAACAGCGTTTTGGGTTTTTTTTTTTGCATCTGGCCAGTATAGGGATTTGAAACCTTGACCTTGGTGTTACAACTGGTTATGTAAAAGGACATCTTATCTTTACAGATATATACAGAAAATTTTACAGATAAAACATAATAAATTTGAGCACCGAATCCATGTGCTATGGTTTGAATGACCTCACCAAAACTCATGTTGAAGCTTAATCCCCAATGTGGCAGAATTGAGGAGGACTTTGGGAGGTGATTGGATTGCGGGAGCTCTGCCCTCATGAATGGACGATTCCATTCATGAATTAATAAATTAATGGGTTAGGGCCGGCCCGTGGCTCACTTGGGAGAGTGTGGTGCTGATAACACCAAGGCCACAGGTTCAGATCCCCTTATAGGGATGGCCAGTTAGCTCACTTGGGAGAGCGTGGTGCTGACAACACCAAGTCAAGGGTTAAGATCCCCTTACTGGTCATCCTTTAATAATAATAATAATAATAATAATAATAAATTAATTAATTAATTAATGGGTTAATGGATTAATGGATTACCATGAAAGTGGAACAGGTGGCTTTATAAGAGGAGGAAGAGAGGAACACATGAACATGCTCTTGCTCTCTTGCGATGTGACATGCTGGGTGAGCTCAGGAAACTACAAAGAGTCCACACCAGGATAAAGGCCCTCACGAGATACACCTCCTCAACCTTGGATTTCCCAACCTTCAAAACTGCAAGAAATAAGTTCTGTTTCTTTATAAATTACCCACTTTCAGGTATTCTGTTAGAAGCAACATAAAAACTAAGATATCATGAGTCCAGGCTAACAATAAAGAGATCAGTAGATAGATAAATGGGAGGAAAAGGAGGGCTCATCCTAACACAGTCTGCCAACTGAGAAATATGGAAGAAGTGGTAGAGTTGTAAAACTCCTAATTTATAGTCATCATAGAGAAAATGATAAAACAAGGAGCCTAAAAATTAAAAAGCGGTTAATGTGGATAAAGGTACACAGGGTATCATTTCTGCAAGTTTTCTATAAGATTGAAATTAATTCAAAGTTAAAACAAAAATAATCCAGTAGGGATAGCACGGGCAGAGGTATAGATGAAATAAGATAGTTCATGAATTGATAATTTTTGGAAATGGGTTATGGGTACATACTACATGTGCTTAAAAGTTTTCAAAATAGGGCCGGCCCGTGGCTCACTCGGTAGAGTGCGGTGCTAATAACACCAAGGCCCCGGGCTCGGATCCCACATAGGGATGGCCGGTTCGCTCACTGGCTGAGCGTGGTGCTGACAACACCAAGTCAAGGGTTAAGATCCCCTTACTGGTCATCTTTTTAAAAAAAAAAAAAAAAAAAAGTTTTCAAAATAGAAAGTTTTTGAAAATTATGGAGGAAACAAAAACAATGTGAGGAACAGAAGAAAAACAAACCCAAAAACAACAAAAAATTCTACAGATAACTATCCTCAAAGAGATAAGAGAAGATATTATACCACAGAATAAAATCAGGATATTATTTAAAAGAAAAAAATAAAACAAAAGAAGACAAGAAACAAATAGAATATCCAAAAGAATAGAACGTAGTTGATAAAGTTAAGGAAATGTTCCAGAAATAGGAAGAAAAAAAGACAAAAGAAAATAGAAAATAAAGAAAATGTTAGAAAACAGAGGATTAATCCAGGGGATCAGATATTCAACTAGCAGGAATTCCAGAAAGAGAAATATGGAGAATAAAAGTGGAAGAAATTATTAAATATATTAGAAAGTTTCTCAGAAATGAAGGATTCAAATCCTTGCATGAGAGTTCCTAAACTAAGGCCAAGTATCAGGGTAGACCAAACACTCTTTCCAACATGCAAGGAGAAAAAGCTAAGATCTCCCTTTCTTGAGAAGTTATAGGAAAACTGGAAATAGGCAAAATTAAAAACACTTGTGCTTCAAAGAACACCATTAAGAAGGCTGATATGGATTGTGTCCCCCAGGTTTTACGCCATTAGTAGCTTAATCCCCACTGTGACTGTTAAGAGGGTGGGAAATTCTATTATGGTAATTGCAAGGTGGGGCCTTGTAGAGGTGATTAGATTCTGAGGACCACGCCTAGTGAAAGGATTAAAAATGGTGGTCATGGGCACGGTTCTGAGGGCTTTAAAAGAAGAATGCATGAGGAGCTATCTCTCTCTCTCTCTTCCACTATTTTGCAACATGTTACCCTCTCATCACTGAAGTCAGCACCAAAAAAAGCCCTCACCAGGGGGCCAGCCCGTGGCTCACTTGGGAGAGTGCGGTGCTGAGAACACCAAGGCCATGGGTTCGGATCCCATATAGGGATGGCCGGTTGGCTCACTGGGTGAGCGTGGTGCTGACAACCCCAAGTCAAGGGTTAAGATCCCCTTACCGGTCATCTTTAAAAAAAAAAAAAGCCCTCACCAGATGTGTTCCCTGGACTTTGGACTTCCAGCCTCTGAAATTATAAGCAATACATTTCATTTTCTTATAAATTACCCTGTTCCAGGTACTTTGTTATAAGCAACAGAAATAGACTAAGATGAAGGTGAAAAGACAACCCACTGAATGGAAAAAAAATATTTGCAAATCTGATAAGGGACTTACACCTGGATTATGTAAAAAAGTCCTATAACTCAATAATAAAGAATCAACATAATTTTTAAATGGACAAAGGACCTGAATAGACATTTCTCCACAGAAAATATACAAATTGGCAATAACCACCTAACAAGATGCTCAACGTCATTAGCCATGAGGAAAATACAAATTAAAACCACTAGATATCTGGGCCGGCCCGTGGCTCACTCGGGAGAGTGTGGTGCTGATAACACCAAGGCCCCGGGGTTCGGATCCCATATAGGGATGGCTGGTTTGCTCACTGGCTGAGCGTGGTGCTGACAACACCAAGCCAAGGGTTAAGATCCCCTTACCGGTCATCTTTAAAAAAAAAAAAAAAAAAAAAAATCCACTAGATATCACTTCACATCCACTAGGATGGCAATAATCAAAAAGACAAAAAGATAATGTGTTGGTGAGGATGGAGAGAAATAGAAACAAGTACACATTACTACTGGGAATGTACAATGGCGCAGCCACTTTGGGAAATAGTGTAATTCCTCAAAATGTTAAATGCAGAGTTACCATTTGATCCAGCAATTCCACTCCTAGTTATATACCCAAGAGAACTGAAAACTTATGTCTATACAAAAACTTGCACATGGGGCCGAGCCCGTGGCGCACTCAGAGGAGTGCGGCGCTGGGAGCGCAGCAGCGCTCCCACCGCGGGTTCAGATCCTATATAGGGATGACCGGTGCGCTCACAGCGCTCAGTGGCTGAGCGCGGTGCGGCCGGTCTCAAAAAGGACCAAAAAAAAAAAGAACTTGCACATGAATGTTCAGAGGAGTATTATCAATAATAGCCAAAAAGTTGAAGCCCAATGTCCACCAACTGATGGATGGATAAACAAAATGTGGTATATCCATACAATGGAATTATTATTCAGCCATTAAAAGAAATGCAATACATGCTAAAACATGAATGAACCTTGAAAACATTATGCTAAGTGAAAGAAGCCAGGTACCAAGAACCACATAATGTAAGATTTAATTTATATGAAATGTCCAGAAAGGCAAATCTATACAGAGTCAGAGAGGAAATTGGTGGTTGCCTAGGGCTGGGGGGATTGAAGAAAAATGGGAAATGACTGATAATCAGTAAGGATTCTTTTTTGGTTGATGACAGTGTTTTAAAATTGATCATGGTAATGGGTGCACAACTCTGAATATTCTAAAAACCATTGAATTGTACACATTAAATAGGTGAACTATACAGTATGAGAATTATATCACAACAAAGCTGTTTAAGAAAGAATAAGTTGGGCCGGCCTGTGGCTCACTCGGGAGAGTGCGGTGCTGATAACACCAAGGCCCCGGGTTCGGATCCCACATAAGGATGGCCGGTTCGCTCACTGGCTGAGCGTGGTGCTGACAACACCAAGTCAAGGGTTAAGATCCCCTTACCGGTCATCTTTTTAAAAAAAAAAAAAAAGAAAGAATAAGCTGTTACAGGAAAACGTGCTCCAAAAACCAAGGAAGCAAATCAAGAAAAAAATTACAGAGAATCCAGGCAACAGAGAATCCAATACAGGAGAATAGCAAAAAGAAGCAAATCCCAGAATAGACGTGAAAAGAGATCTCTGGATTAGAACTGGGAATAGCAGGCACAGAGCCACCAGAATATAAAAGGTCCCCCCCCCCAAAAAAAAAAAGATGGAACAGATGGTTTTCAGAGTATGCAAAAAATTACTGATAGGTATGTGAGAAATGCTGAAGCACTGGGGGAAAAAATTAGGGATCTGTGGATGGAATACCAGGCAATAAGAATATACAGCAATTATTAATTCTCAGAAAAAATGATGGGATGTCCAAGAAATGAAGAGCTCCAGTACTCTACTTGGTTCAGCAGTGAATATCTGTTATATAATGTAAACAGTGACTATTAACAACGAATCATTACATAACCACGTAGAAGAGATGAGGGAAGAAAAACTATGAGTTAAGTACTTATCTCCCACGAATAAAAGTCAACACATAACAATGTGTAAAACAAATCGAGAATCATTGCTATAAGGATATTCACACCCAATTTATAAATAACATCAGAAGAAACAGCTAGAAGAATGGGCACTGGAACTGGGAAATGGGGGATATTTTCTATTATAAGCCTTCAATATTAATTTTTAAAACGATAAATTAATTGAAAAAAATGTAAAAGTAACCTGAAGTTTTTACGGTACTCTGCAGTTTCTCACGACTGAGAAACGAGTGATCTTACTAAGCAAAAGCAAGGAAATTTACATCTTAAGTCTCAGAATAAGTTTCAACTAGTTCTTCAGAGAACCCCCACCGAGCCTCATACTTTTAGGGCACTCACAAGTACCACGCAATCTAAAACGTATTGACTAGAATCAAAATAACATCTATGGAACTGGTAATCTACGCCAGGCATAGTACTAAGCACTTTTCACGTATTATCTACTTTAATATAACCACCTCAGCAGGCGGTTGCCAACTTAATTTTATAGATGGGGTGCCCAAGGTCACCAGCTAAAAAGTACTGGGACTGGTACTCAAGTCCTTAACATCATTCATTCAACAAATATTTACTACATATCTACACAAAGGTTAAGGAGAAATCTGAACGGGGGTTGGTCAGTCAGCTCAGTTGGTTAGAGCACGGTGTTACAACATGAAAGTCTAGGGTTCGGATCCCCTGACCCGGCCAGCAGCCAAAAAAATTAATTAAAAAAAAAAAATCTGGGCCGGCCGGTGGCGCACTGCTATAGTGCGCCGCTTGGGAAGTGCAGCGGTGCTCCCGCCCGAGGGTTCGGATCCCACATACAGACCGGTTCCCGCTCACTGGCTGAGCGAGGCGAGGGAGCAACGCCGAGGG